GGGAGTTTTATCTCCAATGAACCAGCCCATAAAAAGCCCGGAAGTGCAGGTGTGTGGTTCAAGGGGTAGAGCGCCAGCCTTGAGTATGAAAAAATAAGTAAATAGAGCGCAGGGAGTTCAAGTCCCAGGCTGCACGAAGTGGATAAATAAATCAGCAAGCGGAAGCTGAACTTGGTGGAGAGATCTTGGGAAGGAAGGAGAGCCCAGGGAAGCCCTAATCCAATGGCTCATGTCTTCCCTCCTTCCCTCTTTCCTTCCTTCCTTCCTCCTTCCGTCCTTCCCTCCTTCCTTCCTCCTTCCATCCTTCCCTCCTTCCTTCCTCCTTCCTTCCCTCCCGTCCTTCCCTCCCTCCTTCCGTCCTTCCCTCCTCCTCTCTTCCATCCTTCCCTCCTTCCTTCCTCCTTCCTTCCCTCCCGTCCTTCCCTCCTTCCTCCTTCCTTCCTTCCCTCCCGTCTTTCCCTCCTTCCTCCTTCCGTCCTTCCCTCCTTCCTCCTTCCATCCTTCCTTCCTCCTTCCTTCCCTCCCGTCCTTCCCCTCCTTCCTCCTTCCGTCCTTCCCTCTTTCCTTCCTTCCTCCTTCCGTCCTTCCATCCTTTCCTCCTTCCTTCCTTCCTTCCTCCTTCCATCCTTCCCTCTTTCCTTCCTTCCTTCCTTTTTCCATCCTTCCCTCTTTCCTTCCTTCCTTCCTCCTTCCTTCCGTCCTTCCCTCTTTCCTTCCTTCCTCCTTCCATCCTTCCCTCTTTCCTTCCTTCCTTCCTCCTTCCTTCCTTCCTCCTTCCGTCCTTCCCTCTTTCCTTCCTTCCTTCTCCTTCCATCCTTCCCTCTTTCCTTCCTTCCTTCCTTCTTCCGTCCTTCCTCCTTTCGTCCTTCCCTCTTTCTTTCCTTCCTTCCTCCTTCCATCCTTCCCTCTTTCCTTCCTTCCTTCCTACCTCCTTCCATCCTTCCCTCTTTCCTTCCTTCCTTCCTACCTCCTTCCATCCTTCCTCTTTCCTTTCTTCCTTCCTCCTTCCATCCTTCCCTCTTTCCTTTCTTCCTTCCTCCTTCCGTCCTTCCCATCCTTCCCTCCTTCCATCCTTCCCTCTTCCCTCCTTCCTTCCTCCTTCCGTCCTTCCCTCCTTCCCTCATCCTTCCCTCCTTCCCTCCTTCCATCCTTCCCTCTTTCCTTCCTTCCTTCCTCCTTCCCTCCTTCCTTCCTCCTTCCGTCTTTCCCTCCTTCCTTCCTCCTTCCATCCTTCCGTCCTTCTGTTCTTCCCTCCTTCCTTCCTTCCTTTTGCTGGTACCAGGGTTTGTCTGAATTCAGGCTAGGCAGGTGCTCTACCACCTGAGTGATGCCTCTCACTCTTTGGGTGTTGTTTATTGGCAAGGTAGGGTCTTGTTTCATGCCCAACCTGGCCTGGGCTGCAGTCTTTCCACAGTGGCTGTGGCTGGGGATGATAGGCGTGCACTACTGTTGCCCAGCTGGTCCTAGCTGAGGTTCTTAAACCTCACCAACGGCAGTTAGGCTTTCTCTCCAAAATAGAGCGATCCAGGGCTCAGAGGCAGAAAAGAGCCACGGGAACAGCATCTCCCAGGCGATGTGGATTCTCAGCCCCTGTACTCCTGGATCCACTGGAAAATGCAATCATGCTCCTGATTCTTTTTTTTTCTCTCTCTCTTTCTCTGTTAGTCATGAGGCTTGAACTCTGGGCCTGGGCGCTGTCCCTCAGCTCTTCAGCTCAAGGCTGGCACTCTACCACTTAAGCCACGGCACCACTTCTGGCTTTCTGAGTGGTTCCTTGGAGATCAGAGTCTCAGGGACTTTCCTGCCCAGGCTGGCTTTGAACCGAGATCCTTAGATCTCAGCCTCCTGAGTAGCTGGGATGACAGGCGGGAGTCACTGGGCCAAGAACTTGTAAATTTGTTGTGGTGCTGGTGGTCGGTCGTGGGCTTGAACTCGGGGCCTGGGAGCTGTCCCCTCAGCATTTCAGCTCAAGGCTGGCACTCTACCACTTGAGCCACGGCGCCACTGCCCTGATTCTTGAAAAGTGAAGTCGGTCTGCAACCCGAGGCATCAGGTGATGGATGAGAACTCGATCGGAGCGGAAAGGTGGTGGTGGGGGGGGTGCCAAGGAAAAGAACCTTGTATTCACAGAGCACCTGGTATTTTCTAGAGAGTTCCAAGTACTTTTGCGCAACTCTCTCTCCTGGAGAAGGCAGGTGGACGGGAAGCTTTAATTAGAGCCTTTTTTTGGGGGGAGGGGGGAGAAGGGGCAGAAACTGCTGATCACCTGAACGGCACCCCAAACCCCCTCCACCTGACCCCTGGCTGGCCTGCATTGCATTTCTGCATGATTACCGGGGGGGGGGGGGGAGAAATAGATACACAGGAAGGGAGGGGGAGGGCCGTGGAATTCTCCAGAAAGGAAGTTCCTACTATCCCTGTCGGTGACAGCCGGGCCAATCATTTAGTGATAGAACCCCCGACCCCCAAATCCCTGGGAGACACTTGTGATGTCCTCCTCCTCCCCCCGTCCTGTGTTGGACAGCGGTGGGTGTGCTCAGGGGCCTGGTGGCATCGGTCGGGCCCCTGTGTCGCTGTACCAGATACCCGAGAAAAGAGAATGCCGGCCCCGTGGGCGTGGTTCAAGAAGGAGAGCACCCGTCCAGGGCCAGCACAGGGCCCCCAATCCAAATCCCAAACCCAGGGCTTCTGTTGTCAGCGGGATGATCCTGAGAGTCGAGATCTTCGAGGGGCAGGGCCTAGCTTTGGGGGGAAGGCGGTTCTGGTCATTTGCACGGGGTCCTAGTTTGTTCTTGTGAGAGTTGTCATTCAAAGATGGCCCTTTTTACCCGTCAGACCCAGCGACTGGAGGCTGAGCTCTGAGGATTGCGGTTCGAGGCCAGCCTAGGCAGGAAAGTCCGTGAGACTCGGATCTCCAGTTAATCACACACACACACGCACACACGCACGCACACACACATGCACACACACACACACCAAAAGTGGAGCTGTGATTCAAAGTGGTAGAGCAATAGCCTTGAACCAAAAAAAAAAAAAGAGCTCAGAGACAGCGCCCAGGCCCTGAGTTCAAACCCCAGGTTGGGCACAAGAACAGCAAATAAAAGAATGAGTCTGTCTCTGTGTGCTGATAGGCTCTCTGTCTGTCTGTCTCTGTGTCTCTCTGTCTGTCTCTGTCTGTCTCTCTCTCTGTCTCTGTCTGTCTGTCTGTTTGACTGTCTGACTGTCTGTCTCTCTCTCTCTTTCTCTCTCTCTCTCTCTCTCCGTCCCTGGTGACAATGTACAGCAAAAAAAAAAAAAAAGCAAAAATAGCAGTTAGAGTTTTTTCTCTCTCCCTCGTTCCAAGTTGAGCCTGCAGCTCCGGCGGTTTAAACCGAGCGACATAAATACATCTTGTTTTGACTCATCGTTGGGGGACAGATGAGTCTGGAACCCCAAGATCTAATTCCACACTCCTTTTTTTTTTTTTTTAAACCTTCCCCCTCAGCCTCACAGCGGGTGTTAACGCGCCCAGAAAAAACAATGCTGTTGGTGTCGTTGGGAGAAACACCAGCCATCTCCCCCCCTCCTGGTGCGCGTCTGAAACCTCTGGGCAGAGAGAGGAGCCGCGCTCACACGCGCGTGCACACGCACAGGCACACGCACAGGCACACGCTCCTCACTTAGCAGCTGTGTGTGTGACTAAAAGCCAGGCCTCTGTCAAGGGCTGACATGACAGCGCTGGTTATTTAAAGCAGGGGCGATGGCTCATCGTTCTAATTTCAACGGCTCTACCTTCCAACGAGCTGGAGAGAGGCAGCCGACAGCGCCGAGAGCGTTTGCTCCACTTGAAGGCCTAGATTCACAGCCCCCCCCCCCCCGCTCCACATGAAGGCCTAGATTCAAGCCCCCCCCCCCCCGGGATTGAGGAGAAGAGCAACCAAGTCAGTCTTACCCAGAGAGATGGAGGCAGAGACCGGGGACAGCCTAGCTCCTCATAGAAAAATGACAGCCTTTGGTCAGTCCTGGGGCTTGAACTCAGGGCCTAGGCGCCGTCCCTCAGCTCTTCAGCTCAAGGCGGGTTCTCCTACCACTTGAGCCACAGCGCCACGTCCGGTTTTTCTGGTGGTTCATGGGAGATCAGAGGCTCACGGACGTTCCTGCCCGGGCTGGCTTTGAACCTCGATCCTCAGATCTCAGCCTCCTGAGTGACTGGGATGACAGGTGTGAGCCGTCCTATTTAATCTGACACCAAGGCACAGAGAAACAAGTAGCAGCCGGGCTCGGAGCCCGTCAGATACGGATTCTGGGGACCCAGGGCTGCCCCGTGGTGGCTGATACACCCACAGGAGACCTCGGTGGGGGCTGGGGGAGGCCACTTCTACTCCCAGCAAGCGCCGAGCAGATCGAGGCCCGGCCGATTGTGTTCCTGTGGCGCGTTCCGGTCCCTTAGGTAGTCTAACCACTTAGGGATGCCCCTGGGGAGGGCAGCCGGAGCCTCTCGGCACCCGCTGTCCCCCCCGGGCTGCCCCCTGCTCCCCAGAACAGCTGAAGAGCAGCCAGGAGCCCAGGGGGCCGTGGAGGGGGGGTGGACGGTAATCAGCAGCAGGCCTCAGCACCGTGCAGTAAACTGAGGCCCGCAGTCCTGGCTGCGGGCCACGTGGGGGGCAGCGGGAGACTCTCCGACAAGACCACAGCCTCCCGGCGGGCGCCGCAAACCTGGGGTGGGGGGCGTGGACCAGGCGCGCGGCGGCCTTGCTCATTCCCCCCTCCAGGGACCGGCCTGTGTTACAGGATGCCGCCGGAGGCCGCGTTCCTGTGCTGCTGTTGGCCAACAAACTGGATAACGAGAAGGAGCGGGAAGTCCCCCGGGGCCACGGAGAGAAACTCGCCAAGGTAAGACAGACAGACAGACAGACAGCAAACAAAAAACGCACAGCACTTCCGTCTCCCTGGATGCATCAGCCTTGATAGAGATTTCTAGATGCCCCGTGGACAGGAAGAGACGAGGAAAGAATTGTGGAGAGCCAATCACGTAGGGAATTATCCTCAGTGTGCATGCGGGTGTGTGTGTGTGTGTGCGTGCGTGCGTGTGCGTGTGTGTGTGTGTGTGTGCATGCGTGTGCGTGTGTGTGTGTGTGTGTGCGCACATGCGCGTACGTGTATTAGTTCACAGAGGCTGGTCCACCATTCTTAGCATGCTCGCTCTAAATAGGACTCCTAAGGCCAAATCTGGAAAGCGCACAGATGGAAAGTTTCTAGGGGAAAAAGAAAGAAAAGGAGCCGGGAGCCAGTGGCTCCCGCCTGTCATCCCAGCTACTCAGGAGGCTGAGATCTGAGGATCAAGGTTCGAAGCCAGCCCCTGGCAGGAAAGTCCGTGAGACTCTGATCTCCATTGACTCAGCAAAACAATACAAAAACCCCACAAAACCCAGAGGTGGTGTCCTGGCTCAAGTGGTAGAGCGCTAGCCTTGAGCACAAAGAGGCTCAGGGACAGCGCCCAGGCCCTGAGTTCAAGCCCTACCACCGCCAAAATAAAAAACAATTATACATATACACAGAGCATTCTAGATTCCCAAATACACCAAGATCCAAAGATCTTTGCTGGAATACAGTTAATCTCATTTTCTGGCCTCTCCCTGTCTTTCTGTTTGTGTTTCTCTGTGTCTCTGTCTCTGTCTCTCTGTCTCTGTCTCTCTCTGAATGTCTGTCTGTGTCTGTCTGTCTCTCTCTCTTGGTATCAGTACTGGGGCTTGAACTCAGGACTTGAGCACTGCCCCTTAAGTTTTTGTTGTTGTTGTTGTTGGTTTGTTTTTGTGTTTGTTTTTGCTCAAGGTTGGTGCTCTACCACTTGATCCTCACCTCTGCTTCCCAGTTCTGGGTGGTTAATTGGAAATAGGAGCCTCGTGGATATTCAAACCGTGATCCTCAGATCTCAGCCTCCTGAGTAGCTGGGATTGCAGGTGTGAGCCATGAAGGCCCGCCCACCCCCCCCACATCAGTTCAAACCATCACCACCCACCACTGGCTTTTCTTTGGAGGAAGGAGGGTGCCCACCATTTGGTTCTAGGCCTTCATTTCCCCCCATGAAGTCTTTGACAGTCTGATGGGGGGGGCCCTGCGGATGAAGGGAGGTGAGCCAGGCTGGGTGGACCGGAGGAGGAGGTGCCACATCCTCAGGCTGCGATGAAAAGCAGGGAGTTGGAATATAGCATTTAATCCTCCCGAGTGACAGCCTCCAGACTGGCCTCTGGCCTCCGGCCTCCCTCCCTGGAAGACAGCAGCCTCCAGACACCGCATCTGACAGCCAGCGCCCGTGCCATCAGTATTGTGGTTTTGAAGCACACAGTCTTTTTTATTCTTTTGGTCAGCCGTGGGGCTTGAACTCAGGGCCTGGACACTTCCGGTTTTCTGGGGGCTTATGGGAGATCAGAGTCTCACAGGGACTTTCCTGCCCGGGGCTGGCTTTGAACTGCGATCCTCAGATCTCAGCCTCCTGAGTGGTTAGGATGACAGGCAGGAGCTGCCGGCGCTTACCTGAAGTGAGGCTGATTAACGGCGGGGGGGGGAGGGGGGGGGTTGGGGCTGGGGGCTGGGGAGGGGGAGAGGGGGGAGGGGGCAGAGATCAGACCGGGGCACTGCTCCCACCTCTGGCCACGCCCCCCACCCCCAGCCGCCCTCATGGTCTCCCCCATTTCCTCTGCGTCCTGATCTAGGAGAACAATCTGATCTTCTACGAGTGCAGCGCGTATTCGGGTCACAACGTCACGGAGTCGCTGCTTCACCTGGCCAGGTAGGAGACCCCTCCCCGTTCCCCCCCAAAGGTGAAGAAGGCCACGCCCCCCACCCCAGGTCTGCAAGGACCCCTGAACCCTCCACCCCGGGCCAAGGCCATGGGAGAGCAGGCCAGGCCACGGGAGGGCAGGCCAGGCCACGGGAGGGCAGGGCAGGCCACAAGAGGGCAGGCCAGGCCACGGGAGGGCAGGGCAGGCCACAAGAGGGCAGGCCAGGCCACGGGAGGGCAGGGCAGGCCACGGGAGGGCAGGGCAGGCCACAAGAGGGCAGGCCAGGCCACGGGAGGGCAGGCCAGGCCACGGGAGGGCAGGCCAGGCCACGGGAGGGCAGGGCAGGCCACAAGAGGGCAGGCCAGGGCCACGGGAGGGCAGGCCAGGCCACGGGAGGGCAGGCCACAGCCACGGGAGGGCAGGCCAGGCCACGTGAGGGCAGGCCAGGCCACGTGAGGGCAGGCCACAGCCACGGGAGGGCAGGCCACGGCCACGGGAGGAAAGGCCAGGCCACGAGAGGCCAGGCCAGGCCCACGGGAGGGCAGGCCAGGCCACGTGAGGGCAGGGCAGGCCACGTGAGGGCAGGCCACGGCCACGGGAGGGCAGGCCACGGCCACAGGAGAACAGGCCATGGTCTCAGTCACAGTCCTGAAAGGTCGGGTCACAGAGGGATCGCTTCCTGAGGTCCAAGTTCTTACCTGTTCACACCGAAAGTTCAGGAAACAAGACCACACCTCAGAGCCTTTGCCACTGTGGAGGAGCTCATTCGAATGCCATTCACCCAGGTGGGCGTTGATTCCATCTATCCGTCCATCCACCCACCCACACGTCCATCCTGACCTTCACCCATCTACCCATCCAATTATCCACTCAGTGGACCACCCATCCATCCACTCCTTTACCCATCTTCCCACCCATCTATCTACCCAATCATGTCTTCATCCAACCATCTACCTACCCATCATCCATCAACCCACTCACCCATTATCTATCCACCCATCCACCCACCCATCCAACATCCATCCATCCATCTATCCACCCATCATACATCAATCCACCCACCCATCCATCCTCCATCCATCCATCTACCCACCCATCATACATCAACCCACCCACCCATTATCTATCCACCCATCCATCCACCTATCCAACATCCATCCATCTACCCATCCATTCATCCATTCACCCACATATCCACTCAGCCATTCATCCACCCCCTCCATTTATTCACTCACCCATCTACATATCTTTTCTGCCCAGTCATTCATCTACCCATCAATCTATCCACTCAACCACCTACCTACCCACCCCATCCATCCATCCATCCATCCATCCATCCATCCATCCATCCATCTATTCACTCACCCACCTACCCACTCATTTATCCACCTAGTCATCCATCCATCCATCCACTTATCCACTCACCCATCAGCCACTCAATCCATTCACTCACGTATCTACCCACCCATTTATCTACCCAATGATCCATCCATCCATTGATCCACCCATCCACCCATCTATCCAGTCAACCATCTACCCACTTATTTACCCACCCATCCATCCATCCATCCATCCACCATCCACACATCCATCCACCCATCCACCTTCCATCCATCCATCCATCCATCCAACAAACATCGAAGAGTACCCATGATGCACTGAGTGCTCCTATGAGGATTCTTTTTCAGTATTTCAAATTGAGAAATTAAAAATCCAGAACCATTGATCAGTTCCTCAACGCACAGAGATGATATGTTATGACATATACCATAGGGGAGGTTCTAGACTCTTCTCTTCCGCTGAGGCTTCTGGCAAAGCTCTCTGGCCTTGTTGACAGCTTGAGAACCTTCACCACACTCTCCTAGTGGAAAATGCCTGGGGAGTTACAGCACGGTTAAGAAGAGACTGTTGCTTGCTTTTTTTCCCTCTTCTCCCCCCCCCCCCCCCCCGGTGATCCTGGGGCTTGAACTCAGGACCTGGGCGCCGTAACCTGAGCTCACTCGCTGAAGGCTAGCGCTCTACCAACTTTGAGCCACGGCTCCACTTCCAGCTGTCTTGTTTTATGCTAGTTCATTGGAGAGAAGAGTCTCTTGGACTTTCCCTGCCCAGGCTGACTTGGAGCCTCAGTCCTCAGCTCTCAGCCGGGACGGCAGGCATGAGCCCTTACCCCCTCCACTAACAAGGCCGCCTCCTTCCATAGAGACCATCCATCCCCTGATCCTTGTCTCTGTGAGGAGCGTGGGCAGGAGGGCTTCCTGGAGGAGGCGTCTGCGTTGACTGCACGCTGGCTTTACACTGACTCACACACACACACACACACACACACACACACACACACACCCCGGGGCCGCCCGGCGGCTGTGTGGGCTCTGCTCTGGCGGCTGGGGGAGGAAGGGGTGCTCACTGAGCCACCCCGACTCTCCCCTAGCGGCCTTTCCCCTCCCCAGGTTCCTCTTGGAGCAGGAAGACTTGGTGAGGGAGGACACCGTGAAAGTTAGCTCCTCCACCAAGAAGAAAACCTGCTGTGGCTGACATGAGGGGGGGTATCTGCGCCCGCCCCACCCCACCCCGAGCCTCCTGGCAAAGCCCCCCATCTTTGATAACAACCTGACCCCACCCCAGGGGAAAGGAGGGTCATGCAGGCGACCCCCCCCCACACGCACACATCAGGCATCTTAGAAGCGGGTCCTTTCTCCCTTCCCCTCCCCACCTGCCCCCCTTCCTCCTCCCCGCCCCACCTCCAGCCTCCTTTCTGGGGTTTGTGGGAAGTGGGGTGGAGGTGGCAGGTGTGTGTGTGGGGGGGGGGGGGAAGAAACAGATGGACTTCTCCATCTCCACGCCCTTCTCCTCCCTTCCCTCGGGGATCCGGGTGCTGCCGTTGCTATGGCAACCGCATGGGTGGGAGGGGGGGTGGCTGGCCGAATCCCAGGGGCCCAAGGTGTCCCCCGCAGGCACAGCCAGGTAGGCCGGGTGGGTGGCGTTGGCATCCATTTGTCCCAGCGTGATCTACACGCCCCGGGCAGCTGGCGTCAGCCAGGAGACGTGGCGGGTACTGAGCGGGGTACCCCCCTTCCAGCCTGAGCCTCAGCATCACCACGCGCGCTGGGTTGGTCTCCCCCCCGGCCCCATGTCCCATCGTGGAGCTGGGGACCCTCACAAAGAGCACCCACGCTTTTCCTGCTCATCCCCACGGCCACCGGGCCTCCCGCAAGACGGGGTCACCCCCAGAGGACTTCCCACCGCGGTGACTGGATGAGAAGAAACAGAGACTAGGAAAAACCGTCTGAACCCCACACCCGTGGCGGCTCCCGCCTGACCTCCCAGCCACTCAGGAGGCGGAGATCGGAGGATCGCGGGTTCAAAGCCAGCCCGGGCAGGAGAGACCGCGAGACTCTGATCTCCAAGGAAACACCCGAAAACCAGCAGTGGCGCTGTGGCTCAGGTGGTAGAGCGCCAGCCTTGAGTGAAAGAGCCGAGGGACAGCGCCCAGGCCTTGAGTTCAAGACCCATAACTGACAAAAAAACAAAACAACAACAACAACAAAAACAACAAGAACGAATGTCCAGACATCTTTGCTCATGATTACAACACAATGCGAAGCCTCTTTGCGCATGATTACTGCATAATACGAAGCACTCAAAACCCCCGTGCCTGGGACCGGACAAACACGTGCGGGCCATTTTATACCCGGATCAGACTCTCCTCGCCCCCTTCCCTCAGCCCCCCACTCCTGTCCCCAGTCCCCGCTCACGGCTCCCATGTGGATCTAGGGTCCCCACCCAGAAACCCCCACCAAACCAAGCCACATCCTAAATATCCCTCAAACGATGGCTCCCCGGAAAACCTGGCTGCGGTCATCCACAGGCCGGCTCCGCACAGACGGGCGAGCAACACCCTTGGCGTGGAAGCTGCTGACCTTGTCGCTGTGTCTGATTTTTCCCTCTACCCCGAGAGCCCGTGTCTTGCAGAATGGCTGCCATGCTGACCCCTTGCGGGAGTCTCACAAGGGGCAGGGCGTGGCTGTTTTGCTGGTGGATTGGTCCCCGGTCTGGGCTGAGGAGACCGACCAGGACCCCTAACTCCAGGTGGGTGATAGGTCTCTTTCCCGGCTGCTGGCTCTCCTGGCTCGGCTGGCTAGTTTTGCTCTAGGTGAGGAGAATGGCTGGATATAATGATCACAAAGGTCAGCCAGGCACCGGTGGCTCAGGCCCGTCATCCCAACTACTCAGGAGGCTGAGATCTGAGGATCACGGTTCAAAGCCAGCCCGGGCAGGAAAATCCATCCGACTCTTATCTCCAATGAACCACATGAAAACCGGAAGTGGTGCTGTGGCTCAAGTGGTAGAGCGCTGGCCTTGAGCTGAAGAGCCTAGGGACAGCGCCCAGGCCCTGAGTTCAAGACCCACAACCGACAACAACAAAAAAGTCACAGAGATCTTACAATCCAAGCCCATCTTCCACCTCCACCCGCTGCCTCTAAAGCAAAGCAGTGTTCCATGCCTAACTAGGGCACACATCAAGTGCAGCCTGTACCCACAGCCCGGCGGTGGGGTGAGCCACTCTCTGGGGCTAGCCTGAGCATCCCCGTCCCCCGCAGGTCATAGGTCAGTGTCCACCCTTTTCTGCAGACCGCTCTCCGTTTGATCCCGTACTTTACAAAGATCAGAGAGGCCCGATCTCAGGGATCCCATGGCCTCCCTCGGCCAGCCACGTGGGGGTCCCCTAGATCCGCAGAGCCTGCCCCCCGCCACCCTGCCACCCAACGGAGCAGGAAGAAAAGGACCTTCAAGGCCTGGAGTGTGGGGCGGGGACTCTGCTCCCAGGATTTCTCAGAGGAAGTGCCCCGTCCTCAGCCCCCAGGCATGTCAGCCCGGCCCAGAGGCCCGCCCCATGCCTAGGAGAGACCTCCGGCTCCGTTTCCCTGCTCACTGAGCCAGGTTTCCCAAGTACCCTGTGAAACCTCACAGGGGCAGATCAAGTGCCAAGGGAGTACTGTGTGCAGAGGACTCAGCACAGTACTACCAGTACCTAGGTGATGCATGTAGAAGACTCAGCACCAGTACCTAATAGGTGTTAATGCATGCAGAGGACTCAGCACAGGACCTAACATATGTTAAAATGCATGTGGAGGACTCAGCACAGTACCTAGCAGGTGTTAAGTGATACAGCAGAGGACTCAGCCCAGTACCTAACAAGTTATGTAATGCATGCAGAGGACTCAGCACAGTACCAGGTGTTAAGGTGTTAGGAAACAGGGGCTACACTGGGAGACAGTGCTGAGTTACTGCTAGGTTTATTTGCCTCCCTTTCAGGGAACACTTCCCCATGGTCTGCCCAGAACAGAGCCTTGTGCCACACAGCCTCATTGAATGGACCATCTTTCAGCCATGTGCGGGGCTCTGAGTTGCTTGGATTACAGGCATACGCTACCATGCTGAACCCCCAGCTCCAAGACTAGATCTGCACTTGAACAAAGACTTTCCCTCCTCGCCAAAGAAAACCCAGAGGAGCAAGTACCTTCTAGAACAACGGCAGCCTGCCACACTGGGTCCGAGGGGTCAAACTTTCAGACGGGCCTTTATCCGACCTCGCTGAGAGAGAGGCTCGGTTTGGGCATCTAGGGCCTCATGGCTAGTTCCAATATGTTTACACGTCTGACATCTCACGCACAATCGACGTAAAGTGGCCGCATCTCTCAGGACATTTCCTCTCGCACCAAGTTCGCCCAGTCTTTTATGGGGGGGGCTGCTGTTTACAAGATCTCCTGGCCACAACCTTTCTACTTTGCACCCATATGCGCTTCTGAATCTACTGTCGGCGTGTCATGGACGGCCGATGTCGGATCATTCTTCGAAATCTACTTTTTTAATTCTCCCCGATGACCGCCTTCCCGTGGTCGAATTTGAACCCGTTGGTGTTGCGCGGTCGGTCACGCGGGGTTTGTCTGTGGTTTTCTCCCTTCTTGCTGCCTCCTCCTTCTCGGTTCAATAGATATTTTCGAGTGTGTGTGTCATCACCACGCTCTTAATTTAGTTATTATCTATTTATGATCATCTCCCCCCCCCCCCCCCGCTGGTTTCCTTGGAGATTACCATTCATGTCTCAATCTGTAACCATCTGGGCAATAATAATTTTAATGGTATATGAAAACATCGTGTCCATGAAGTTCCTTTCTTCCCCTGCTCTGTGATTTGTTTTTAAATATCTTTTTTCAACTGTCTCAAATTATATCTTTATTCCCTTACATCCCAGCCTCACATGCATCCATAATGATCGCTGTGGGGCCCTCAAAGGAAAAAACATGGAGTTATAAACAAAAATATCATCTTTTGTCTTTAGCCATGGTCACCTGCTTTAGCCCTTCTGATTTAAAGGATCATTTCATCTCGGCCGAAAGCACTTCCTTTAGAATTTCTTGAAGGGGGGGAATCTGCTGGAGATGAGCGCAGTTTCTATTCACCTGGAAATGTTTTCATTTATTTATTTATTTTTGCCAGACCTGGGTCTTGAACTCAGGGCCTGGGCGCTGTCCCTGAGCTTCTTCGGCTCAAGGCTAGGGCTCTACCATTTGAGCCACAGATCCACTTCCGGATTTTTCTGTATATGGGGTGCTGAGGAATTGAACCCAGGGCTTCGTGCATGCAAGGTGAGCGCTCTACCCCTGAGCCGCCTGCCCAGACCATATTCTTATTTTTTATTGTATTTTTTTCTTGCAGCCTTGAGTTTGAACTCAGGGCCTCACATTTGCTAGGCGAAGGCTCTAACCACTTGAGTCACACACCCAGCTTCTACAGGTGTGAGGTCCCTGCATCCTACAGGCCCACGTGACAGTCCTGGGGCTTGAACTCAGGGCCTGGGCGTTGACCCTGAGCTTTGTTTTTTTTTTTTACTCCAGGCTGGCGCTCTACCATTGAGTCACAAAACACAGTCCAGCTGTGTTTTTGGTGGTTCGCTGGAAATAAAAGAGTCTCACAGAGTTCCCTGCCTAGGCTGGCTTTGAACCGCAATCCTCAGATCTCAGCCTCCTGTGTAGATGACAGGTTCACACCTGTAATTTGCCAGTGCCTGGCTTTTATTATTGTTGTTGTTGTTGTTGTTATTGATTTAGCAGTGCTGGGGCTTGAACTCAGGCTGCTTCTGCTCACGGTGAAGGTGCCTGACCGCTGAGCTACCCCCAGCCCTGTTTCATTCACCTGATTACTTCGAATAACCCCTCAATCCTCCCCCCTCCCCCCAACACTCACCGCAGAGATTCTAATGGCATTAGAAACTGGAAGGCCTTTATTTACCTTTACATTTTACATTTAAGGCTGGCGCTCTACCACTTGAGCCACAGCCCCACTTCCGGTTTTCTGGTGGTTCATAGGAGATGAGAGTCTCATGGATTTTTCTACCTGGGCTGGCTTTGAACCTTGATCCTCAGATCTCAGCCTCCTGAGGACCTGGGAAGACACAAACACCCCAGTGAACAAACCAACCAGGAAGGAAAAGATGGAGAGTCAGACAGAGGAAGGAAGGAAGGAAGGAGGGAAGGAAGGAGGGAAGGAGGGAGGGAAGGAAGGAAGGGAGGGAAGGAAAGAAGAAAGGGAAAGAGGAGAGGAGGGGAAGGGAGGAGAGGAGGGAGAGGGACAGAGGAGTGGAGGGAGAGGCTCAGGAGGCTCAGCAAGACCCCGAGGGACCAGCACCCAGGGACCCCGGCTGCTTCCGGGAACATCCGGGCCGCCAGCCATGGCCAGCTCACCCATGAGTGTCTCCTGCTTGCTTTGTTCATTGTTCTTACGAAGACGATCACAGACATCTCCTAAAACACCCCCCGGGGGCCCGTGGTGTGCCCTGGGCTGGGAAAGACACTCAGATGCTCACATACGCGTGAGACACGGAGCCTGGGCCAGGGAGGACAGACAGACAGACGGACAGACAGACAGACACTGATGAGCGCCCACGGTGCATACGTGAGCGCAGGTCCCCGGGCCACTGAGCCATCTTCAGGGGCTGGGGTGCTCAGGACCTGGTGGGGGTCCGGCATGCCCCCCCCACACCCACAGGATGGGACCCCAGAAAGGTAGAATGCACCCTGAGGTGCGCGGGTCAGCAGGCCCCACATTCTCCCTCAGTGCACGCGAAGTGATCCTAACACAGACCCTTTGCTCCCAAACACACCCCTCTCCCAGCCATTTCCCACACCAGCTCCAAAGCCCCTCCATCCACCCCCCCCCCCCCCCAGCCCCAGAGCTCAAGGAGCTGCCCAGGATCCTTTGCGGCCATGGTGTTTTGTTTCCTTTCTGAAGTCAATTTCCAATTTCTAGGGGAAAACAATGGCGACGGGCAGGGGGAGGGTGGGGGGACGGGGAGGATTCTAGCTCATTCCTTGGAGCACTTTGTGCAAATCAATACCCAGGTGGAAATCCTTCTCCTCCTCACTCCCTCAGAGCCCCGCCGGTGAACATCTCCAGGCCGGGCCTCTCCTCCTCTCCTCTCCCCTCTCCTCCTCTCCTCTCCCCTCATTTTTCATGTCTCCGTGCAATGCTGGTCCCCAAAGCCATTCCCTGGGTCTTGTGATCTGCCCTAACGTCTCCTCCTTCATTGTTTTTTAATCCCTGAATCTGACGTTTGTTTCTGCAGGCACCTGCAAGTCCTCAGGGGGAAAGATGGTGTCCATCGGATTCCCTTCCATCTCCAGGGCGCCCAGGGACCCAGGAAAGGTGGATGGGATGGTCCGGGGCTGTGGGGGGGACCATTCAGCCGCCCTCCTTCCCACTGGATCCCGGGGGGCTGCACGGGGAACGGCACCCCATGCTTTATGGAAGGTCCACGTCAGGCATCCGCAGGGGGGATGGTGAGGATGCCTTCCTGCTGTCAAGTGTTGCTGCCATGGCTCAAGACCCCCGTTACCCCATTCCCTGCCACTGGGGTCCTGAACATCCCCCACCCAAGGCCTGTGTGTTCATTCCTTCCCAAGCCCTGGGGCCTTTAGCAGGTTAGGCCTAGCGAGAGGAGGTTAGGCTCTTGGGGGAGTGGCCTAGCGAGAGGAGGTTAGACCTTTGGGGGTGTGGCCTGGTGGGGGTTAGGCCTTTGGGGGCGTGGCCTAAGTGAGAGGAAGTTATGTCATTGGGGGAAGTTAGGTCTTTGGGCGTGGCCTTGAAGGACCTGTTAAGGCCCCACCCTTCCTGTCTGTCTGTCTGTGTCTTTCTCTCTTTCTGTCTCTTCTCAGGGCTGCCATGACCTGGGCAGCTTCCTCAGCCATGTGCACCTACCCTGCCAGCCTGAAGATGACGGCCACCGCCCCCACCCCCCCCCCCGCGGGGCGTGGTGAGCAGCCATTACAGACTAAGCCCTCGGAAGCCCTGGCTGCCTCCTCAGCGGACTGCCCAAGCCTGCCACCTGTTCCTTCGCTCCTGATATTCCCAGGAAGGCCAACCCTCCCCCTGCTTTCCCAGGGTTGGGGTGGGGTGGAGAGGGACCCTCGAGGCTACCAACCCCAAAGCCCAGCTCTCATTCTGGAACTTTCTATCAGCTCCTGCTCCCCTCCCCTCCCCTCAGGCATCTGCAGGAAAGGGGTTTCTAGGACAGCCCTGACTCTTCCTCTTCTTCTGCTGAGCTTACCTTCAAGGCAGCCAGGCAAGCCCCAGCAAGAGGGGGGCCTGTGGGAACTTGTACTGCCCCCTCACCCCAACTTTCCCCTCCAGAGCCCCAGGGAACACTGAGACGTCCCGACGTTTCCATCTCTTTGTGTTTATTGAGCGCCCATGGGGTCCCACCCCACGGAGCCAGCGCCCAGGGTTCAGAGCCATGGTCTCTTTCCAGAGACCAGAGCGAGTAGAATACAGAGAAGTTCCAGAGCTTCTGCGTTGACAAGTCTGTGAGGGCCTGGGGGCGGGGGGAGGGGAGAGCTAGTCACAAAACAAGTTCCTATTCGAAAGCAACAGGGTCTCCTCCCGAGGGCGGTAAGCAGTGGGCCGCGTGCGCCCCGCACCACGCCACGCGCACCACGCCCGGGCACACCCACCCGGCTGCATCTGCACGCACATACGGGCATCGGCGGGTAGATAAACACGAACGCAGGCTGCCCACACGCACGCACGCACGCTTGCACACGCACGCGCACACACCGCCGCTCAGACACTGACGTGTGTGTGCGTGTGCGTGTGTCCTGGCTCTAGCAGAGGCAATCTGTCTTAGATTTCCCGAAGCATGCAAAAGAAAATCTGGAAGATCCAGAGACCCACAGCTTAGAAGGGGTCCCGAGGAGACGTTAGTCCGGCTTCTTCCTTGGGGGCGGGCGGGAGGGGGGGCCGGCGGAGGGGGGCGGGCGGGGGACCCCAGACACAGCACAAAAGGTTGTTTTGGTTGGCACCAATTGAACCTTGGTGGAGAGCTCCCGGGGCAGAGTGGAGGGGGCCGGCGTGGGGGTGGGGGTCCCCCTCTCTTCCCCCCACCCCTCCCCGTCCATCCGTGGCAGGGCCCCACGGGCACCGCGGGGAGCATGCCGGGCGTCCAGGCCGACGAGAGCTGTGGTTAGGATGGCGTCCGGCGTCCACCCGGGCTGGGCAGGGCGGCCGGTGGCGGGCATTCATTCCCCTCCTCCGCGGCGCTCCGCGGCTAACGCGGCTAACAAGGTGCTAACGCATCTTGTAGTCGTTAGATACAGATGTTTCGCACAGCTGGCCCTTAAAATCCAAGTCTACGGTGAAGTCGAGGTCTCGCTGCCAGGGGAGAGCGGGAGGGGGGATGGGGCGCGGTGAGCGTGGGTAGGAGGTCACAGCCCCCCCCTTCCCAGGTCAGGCAAGCAGCCCCTCCCCCCGGGATGGGCATGAGCCCCCATTTGTTGGGAAACTCCTCGGCTGTCTCCCGATCCTTCCAGGAAGAGCTGACCCAATCCTTCCCGGTTCATATTTTAAAAAAAAAAAAAAAAAAAAAATGTTTCCTCCGGGCAGGTGCTGGTGGCGCACGCCTGTAATCCCGGCTACTCAGGAGGCTGGGAATCCAGTGCTAACTCCGCTAGGCTCTTCTGGGGATGAGGGGTGAGCTGTGACCGTGTACACTGTTCTTAACCCAAAGCCAACGGTGCATCCCAAAGATGTCTGTCCACATCTGCCGAGACTCAGTCTCCCTTCTCTGCCTCTGGCCGGGTTTTGGGGTTTGGGACCTGGGGTGGGGGGGCTCCCACACCTAACGTGGGACTCCTGCCCTTTGTTCGAGCCTGGGGAGGGGGGGTATCAAAAATTCACTTTTGACTTCTAGGCAACCACAACTCATCCCTCAATCAAGCCAAGCTCCCAAGTATTCCTTCTAGAAGGTTCTCTCTGGCAGGAAGGGCTTTGGCAGCTGTCTTCTAGGCCATGTCTGGGGAGGAGGGACCTAACAAAAGCCTCTTGTGGCTGGGTTGGAAGTCCGATGGCCTCTGAACGCAGCTACATTCTGATTCCCACAGAAACTTCTAGAACTTAGGTGGGGGAGGGTGGGGAGGCTTACCACGTTTTTGGCATTTGGTTTCATGGATATGGTCCCGTAGATCTCCTCCCCTCTCCGGACCGTGAGGTAGTCTTCCAAGTAGAAGACCGTCTGCTTCCAGTGTGTGTAGGGGGCGTCCGGGGCTACGGGGGGGAGCGAGAAGAAAAGTGGGGGGCTTCAGGAGCACCGGGAGGCGAGAAGGGAGAGACAGAGACAGTGTCTGCAGACGCCAAGGCCCAGCGCAGACTCGCCCCCGCCCCGGCCCCCCACCCGGCACTGGAGAACCTGCTGATTCCTCCCCCCCCATCCCAAACCCCTGGCACCTTACCCAGCCCGGCCCGGGGTCCCTGGGCATGAAGGAGGAAGAGACCAGGCCAGGCCAGAGGCCGCGGGCTTACCTGTGGAGAACCCCATCTTCTTGTGGCACTTGGTAAACTCGATGTTGAAGTAGGTGACCAGCGCGTGCACGTAGTCATTACGCTGGATTTGGAGGCAGAAGGCAGAGGTGAACGACAGCTCTTCGGTCTTCACGGTGTAAATGTCCACCTCCTAGGGCCCACGTGGGGGCGGGGGGGGGGGGACAATGCCAGAGTTTGATGCTCTCCACCAGCCCCCTCCCCAGCCGCGCCCACAGCCGCCACCCAAGCACCATCCAAGCCGGGCGCTGGCCCTCAGGCCTGTAAGCCAGGCCTCTCAGGAGGCTGAGACTTGAGGATCCCAATTCAAGGGCAGCCCAGGCAGATAAATCCAAGAGACGCTGGGATCTCACAGGAGCCAGCAAAACGCCAGAAGTGGCTCAAGTGGCGAGGGCCAGCTTTGAGCGCAAGAGCTAAGGACGAGAGTGTGAGGCCTGAGTTTAGGACCTGACAGGTACACACATTTTTGTTTTTCCAGTCGTGGGGCCTGAACTCAGGGCCTGGGCGCTGTCCCTCAGCTCTTCAGCTCAAGGCTGGTGCTCTACCACTTGAGCCACAGCGCCGCTTTTGGTTTTCTGGTGGTTCCTTGGAGATCAGAGTCTCACGGCCTTTCCTGCCCGGGCTGACTTTGAACCTTGATCCTCAGATCTCAGCCTCCTGGGTAGCTAGGATGACAGGTGTGAGCCACTGGTGTCCAGCTTAGGCACACACGTTTAAATCATCATCATCATCATCATCATCATCCTTAGCTTGGGTTCTACCAAGCCCAAGGGACTTGCCAGGCAGGTGTTCTACCCCTTGAACCAGGGCCCCGGTCCTTGTTTGTCTTGTGTGACTTTTGCCTGGACTGCGTGATGCTTCCACTTAGACCTGCAGGGTAGCTGGGACCACAGACCTGTGTGACCACCCCAGGCTTCTCCATTGAGATGGGGCGGGAGGGGGCTTGTCTTGAACTGCCTGGGTTCCCATTTCTGCCTCTCGGGTAGCCGGGATTGCAGGCGGGGGCCACGGGGCCCACGCTGGTTGCTAGGCTTTTGGGTTGCTTGTCTGTCCACGGTGCCTGAGCCCGTCCCGGTGCCCGTGGCCTTTTGAATGAGCAGGAGGCTGGAGGTCTTGCTTTTCAGATTTCCAGCCACCAAAAGACAGCCGTCCAGTCTCCTGTCGGCTGACGCTACCCGGTGGATCTGGGAGCCATTCGCATCTTTAGAGGGGTCTCTGGCTGGGCACCGGTGGCTCACGCCTGTCATCCAAGCTCCCCAGGAGGCTGAGATCTGAGGATCGGGGTTCAAAGCCAGCCCGGGCAGGAAAGTCCATGAGACTCTGATCTCCCATGAACCACCAGAAAAGTGGAAGTGGTGCTGTGGTTCAAGGGGTAGAGCACCCGCCTTGAGCTGAAGAGCTGAGGGACAGCACCCAGGCCCAGAGTTCAAGCCCCACGGGGAGGGGAGGCGCGGGCCCACGCTCAGTGTGGCCAAAACCAAGCAACACGGGAGCAGCAGGACGGGGGAGAAGACGGGCGGGCAGGGTCCTCACCCAGGCCACGTCCCACCCAGGCCCCGCCCGCCACACCCAAGCCCCGCCCTCCTCGCCCAGGCCACGCCCCATGCAGACCCCGCCCTCCCACTCCAGGCCACACCCAAGGCCCCGCCCTCCTCACCAGGCCCCACCCCACCGCAGGCCCCGCCCTCCTCACAGGCCCCGCCCTCCCACCCCAGGCCACACCCCAGGCCCCGCCCCCCTCACCAGGCCCCGCCCTCCCACTCCAGGCCACACCCCAGGCCCCACCCTCCCACCCCAGGCCACACCCCAGGCTCCGCCCTCCTCACAAGGCCCCGCCCCACCGCAGGCCCCGCCCTCCTCGCAGGCCCCGCCCCCGGCGCAGGCCCCGCCCCCGCCGCCCCCAGGCCTGACCTTAATCAAGCAGGCGTTGGTCACCACTTGCTTGGGGTCGACAATGTCCACCAGCGGCTCCTTCATGGCCACGTCCCGAATGCAGGTCATGTCGAAGCCGTACACGTTTTCCCACCCTGTGGACGGAGCGGGCGTGAAGCGGGAGGAGGACCGGGGCTACCTCCCCATCCCTGCCCCCCATGCCCTGCCCCCATGCCCTGCCCCCCATGCCCTGCCCCCCATGCCCTGCCCCCCATGCCCTGCCCCCCATGCCCTGCCCCCCATGCCCCCCATGCCCTGCCCCCCATGCCCTGCCCCCCATGCCCCCCATGCCCTGCCCCCCATGCCCTGCCCCCCATGCCTCCCATGCCCTGCCCCACATCCCTGCCCCCCCATGCCTCCCATGCCCTGCCCCCCATGCCCTGCCCCCCATGCCCTGCCCCCCATGCCCTGCCCCCCATGCCCTGCCCCCCCATGCCCTGACCCCCCATGCCCTGCCCCCCCCATGCCCTGCCCCCCATGCCCTGCCCCCCATGCCCTGCCCCCCATGCCCTGCCTCCCATCACCTGCCCCCCATGCCCTGCCCCCCATGCCCTGCCCCCCATGCCCTGCCCCCCATCCGTGCCCCCCTATGCCCTGCCCCCCATGCCCTGCCCCCCATGCCCCCCATGCCCTGCCCCCCATGCCCTGCCCCCCATGCCCTGCCCCCCATGCCCCCCATGCCCTGCCCCCCATGCCCTGCCCCCCATGCCCTGCCCCCCATGCCCTGCCCCCCATGCCCTGCCCCCCATGCCCCCCATGCCCTGCCTCCCATCACCTGCCCCCCATGCCCTGCCCCCCATGCCCTGCCCCCCATGCCCTGCCCCCCATGCCCTGCCCCCCATCCCTGCCCCCCTATGCCCTGCCCCCCATCCCTGCCCCCCTATGCCCTGCCCCCCATGCCCTGCCCCCCATGCCCTGCCCCCCATCCCTGCCCCCCTATGCCCTGCCCCCCATGCCCTGCCCCCCATGCCCTGCCCCCCATCCCTGCCCCCCTATGCCCTGACACCCATGCCCTCCGGTGCAGCCTGAGCTGGGGGTGCCATGTGCGGGGCCCCTGTTGCCCACCCGCACCTCCCACGTCCAGGGGGGGCAGCCAGGGCTCAGCAGGGCTGACACCTGTCTCAGGCTTTGGCCTGAGGAGGAGGTTGGGAGCAGCCCCTGGGAAGGGGCGGCTGAGAGACTCTCATCGCCAACAGACAAGGCAAGAGGAAACCAAAGCCAGAAGTGGCGCCGTGGCTCACGTGGTAGAGCGCCAGGCTTGAACAGAATACTGGGGGACGGCGCCCAGGCCCTCAGTTCAAGATCAGCGCACGCACACACACACACACACACACACACACTCTGCCCAGGAGACACTGGCCAATGGCGGCCGGCCGGGCCTCCCAGCTGGCCCAGGCATGGCTCCCCACATCCGGGCAACCTGGTGGCACCCCTGTTTCCTTTCCCAGGGCCCTTGGTCCCCGCTGACACCCTGGGGGACCCCTGTGCCCCTTGGGGGAGGGAGGAGGGGGGAGGGAGGAGGACCGAAGAGAGTCTCTCAACTCAGGCTGCTTTTCTGAGGCTCACAAAGGCCCCCGGGGCACAGACGGCTGGACAGACGGACGGAGGAGGCAGAGAAAATAACCACCTCCCACGGGGTGGGCACTCGAGGCAAAGACGGCAGCCCGGCCTTCCCACGGCCTACAGGCTGGCGCAGACCCCCCCTGCACCCCCACCCACTGCAGGGGTGCAGCGGGGAGCAGACCCCCAGCTCCCCAATCGCTGGGCTGGAACCAACCAGCCTGGGGGGGCATGCGCACTCACAGCTGGCTGTCTCCCCGCCCCCTCCCTCCCTCCCTCCCTCCCTCCTTCCCTCCCTCCCTCCCCCCACAGAAATGTTGGCCAAAAGGCTGGGCGTCCTGTGCCAGGGTGAAGGCTTGGGTTTCGGGGTTTCATCCTGACTTCTCCCACGTGTGTGTGCGTGTACATACACATCTATACACATATACACACATATGTGTGTATATGCACATGTGTATGTGTACACATATATACACACATGCATATATACATGTATGTGTGTATATGCATATACGTGTGTATGTGCATATTATATAAGTATACATCACATATATGTATATGTACACATATATACTATACTAGAGGGTTTTTTTTTGGTCAGTCCTGGGGCTTGAACTCGGCCTGGGCGCTGTCCCTCAGCTCTTCAGCTCAAGCCTGGTGCTCTACCACTTGAGCCACAGCGCCACTTCCAGTTTTCTGGTGGTTCATTGGAGATGAGAGTCTCAAGGACTTCCCTGCCCAGGCTGGCTTTGAACTGCTGATCCTCAGATCTCAGCCTCCTGAGTAGCTGGGATGACCCGCGTGAGCCACTGGCGCCCGGCTTCATTCTCCCTTTTCTAAAGCTCTTTGGTATTCACACCTGTAACCCTAAGCTACTCAGGAGGCTGAGATATGAGGATCTCTGGTCAAAGCCGACCCCGGGAGCCAAAGCCCATGAGCCTCTTATCGCCAATGAATCCACCCAAACCCAGAAGTAGAGGCATGGTTCAAGCGGTAGAGCACCAACCTTAAGCAAAATAAATAAATACCAAGGTCAAAAAAATGAAGCCAGGCAAAAGTGTGATGCCCCAAGTTCAAGCCCCAAGACCAACACCAAAAGAAAGACAAAATAAAAGGCGCTGGGCGCCGGTGGCCCCCGCCTGTCATCCCAGCCATGCAGGAGGCTGAGATCTGAGGATCAAGGTTCAAAGCCAGCCTGGGCAGGAAAGTCCATGAGACTCTGATCTCCCAGGAACCACCAGAAAACCAGAAGTGGCGCTGTGGCTCAAGCGGTAGAGCACCAGCCTTGAGCTGAAGAGCTGAGGGGCAGCGCCCAGGCCCCGAGTTCAAACCCCACGATCGACCAAAATAAATAAATAACAGAAATAGAAGGCAGGCGAGGGGACTCACAGTGGATTTTGAAGTCCTTGTACTGCCGGTCTTCTATGGCCACCACGTACAGCGCTGCCCGGTCTGGGAACATGAGGCCCCCTGGCTTCTGTTAGAAATGGCGGGGGAAAGTGTGAAGTGGGAATCTGACAGAGACATCACCCACTGGGCTGTTCTGGGAGTCATCGGAGCGGCCCCCCCTGTCCCCGGCTGGGTTTCCCAGGCACCCTCCAGGGCGGGCCAGGGAGAGATGGAGGTGGGGGAAGCCGGAGGTGGGGGGGGGACTGGGGAGGGACCCCAGGAGAGCAACGGGAACCAATGAAGCCTGGTGGCGGTGGATCCAGCTGGGGCCGCTTAGCCTGCGGGATGGGCAAGCGAGGCCCAGGCTGGGCAGATGCCCTGCAGATCTGCTCGGGCCCGAGGCCTCCCTTAAGTCCTGCTGGGGAAGGGGAGGGGCTCCACGTCAAAGACCTGAGTTCAAATCCCCCCCGTGATGCGCCCGCCATGGCTGGAGGCTGGGGAGTCGCGTGCTGGGGCGGCGGGCGGTCTCACACTCACCAGCCACTTGTCCCTGGCGAAGATGACGGTGTTGAGCATCGACTCGTAGAACAGGCAGTAACCCATCCACTCGCTGATGATGATGTCCACCTTGTCCACCGGCAGCTCCACCTCCTCCACCTTGCCCTTGAAGATGGTGATGACTGCAAGCAAGGGGGGGCGTGGCCTTGGGCAGCGGCTCCCCCCACGGCCCCCAGCCAGGAGGTGACCCGGCCTCCACGCCCGCGTGGAACCCACCGAGATGTACCACGAGGACCCCGGGGGGGGGGGGGGGCACAGCCGGGTGCTGAGTTCCCAGCATGCACAGCACCACCGCCGCCACCCTGAGGGAAGTTCCATTGCTGCTCAGGGAAACTGAGGCTGGCCCAGCCCAGATGGGCTCCATTGCTAGGTTGCCATGACAACCCAAACCCAAAGAAACGGGGGGGGGGGGGGGGGCCGCGGGGAACCTCTCCCCTCCTGGTTTTTGCATCTGTGCAGAGGTGGGCATCTCCCTCCCTCCCTCCCTCCCTCCCTCCCTCCCTCTCTCTTGTATCTGGGAAGAGGAAAGACAGACTGGTGTTTTGACAAGATTCTGCCCCAATTCTGCAGACAGAAAGCTCAGCTGTGGGCGCGCCCCGGCCCCACGGGGGACTCTGGGTCCCCACGGAGCCCCCCCGCCCCCCGGGACGGGTGAGGAGGCGGTCCATGGGGGAGGTGGCCGCACTGTTGAGATGCCGGGTAGTTAAGTGAAGTTAGGGCGAGGGGCCTGGCTCCACAGGAGCCAGGTCATGGGGGGGGGAAGCAAGGCCCACATGGCCAGGGCCCCCCACCCCCTTCCCAGGCCTCGGGACCCCAGGCCGGTGCTAGCAGGGAGGCACGGCCCTGAGCCTCACCCCCCCCCCCCGTCACCTCCCCTCCTGCCCAGGTCGGAGCGGATGGCACCCGCAAGCAGGGGAGAAGGTGGCAGGGCCGTGCTCCCACTCTGGAAAGTTCCATGGCACCCGAGATTCGCTGGGAGGCTAAACAACACCACCGCTTGCCGGTTTTAAAACCAAGATGCCAGATGCCCGTGGCTCCCGCCTGTCATCCCAGCTACTCGGGAGGCTGAGAGCTGAAGATGGTGCAGTTCAAAGCCAGCCCGGGCAGGGAAGTCCAGGAGACTCTGATCTCCCATGAACCAGCAAAAAGCCGGAAGTGGCGCTGTGGTTCAAGTGGTAGAGCGCCAGCCTTGAGCACAAAAGCTCAGGGACAGCGCCCCGGCCCCGAGTTCAAGCCCCAGGTCTGACTAGTAAACCAACAACAATAATAATAATAATAGATAATAAATCACATCATCTTGAATCTGAGTTTTATGGACTGGAGGCTCTTCCATGGTAGAGGTGCAGGTTGGTTCATTGTCTCTACAAAGATCGAGCCCAACAATGCCCGGTGGTCATCAGTTTAAGAGGAGCTGGCAGCCTGGCCGGGGCCCCTCCCCCCTCCCCCCTCCCCCCTCCCCCCCCCCCCCGCACCGTTCAGCCTGCATCCCCCCCTCAAGGTGGCTTTGAGGTCACTCTCCGGGGCCGTGTCCCACTTCCCTAAGGATGACGGGAAGTTTGACCAACCGGCTGCGGAACAGCCCGGCTGGCAGGTCTCAGGGCGATTAATCACGGCCAAAGCACACTTTGGTTTTGGCAAATGACACCACGTTTGGTCGCCGTTTATAGCGGAGTCTTTTTGTTAAGATCGTTTCGGCGGTTAGAGCAATCTGAGGAAAGGTCATGGATTGTGTATTAATAAAAAGGAAAAAAAAAAAAGCCGATCAGGCCAGCCCACCCTCATTTGAGCCTCGAGGGCATCCGTCAAAGTCAGATGACCCCAGGGTCGAGTGTGGTGGCCCACACCTGTAGTCCCAGCTACGCAGGAGGCAGAGGCAAGAGGGTTTTAGTCCCAGGCCAGACTGAGCAAAAGTGTGAGAGTTTATCTGAAAGATAAAGTGAAGCGAAGAGGGCTGGTTTATTCCCCCTCCTGTAATTTTTCTGAGTAGATGAAATATATAGATAAATATATATATATATATATATATATACATATATATATATATGTTGTTGTTTCCAGTTATATAAAAATCGTATCCAGCTCTGCTCCTATAATCAATTTCCACAAAGGCACCCACTGTTCAGAGCCTCCCGGAAGCCTGCTGCCACCCGCCCCTGACGGAGGAAGAGGAGCCATGGCGCTGCTAGTGCTTAAGTCAAAGAGGAATGGCGTGTGTGTGTGTGTGTGTGTGTGTGTGTGTGTGTGTGTGTGAGAGAGAGAGAGAGAGAGAGACAGAGACAGACAGAGACAGAGACAGAGACACAGAGACAGAGACACAGAGACAGACAGACTCAGAGACAGACAGACTCAGAGAGGCAGAGACACAGAGACACAGAGAGACAGAGACATAGAGACAGACAAACAGAGACACAGAAACACAGAGACATAGAGAGACTGAGACACAGACACAGAGACAGAGAGACAGACAGACACAGATACACAGAGAGACAGAGAGACAGGGACACAGATACAAAGACACAGAGAGGCAGAGGGGGAGACGCTGCATCTTCCTGCTGGTGTGGATCCACTAGTGGATCGAGGAGTGGAGGGGGTTGGCCAGGGAGGAGGGATGGATTTGGGGTCCTCCACGGGCCTGGCCATGTCTTGCGGGGTGGGGGGGCTGGGTGGGGGACGGGGGGAGGGGACAGGACTCCGCCTCACTAGCGCCACCTGCTGATGGGAGGCCGGAGGCTTCCACTGGGTCCCCTCCTCCGGGGTGCGTGGGGGGGACGTGGGGGGGGGGGAGTGGCAGAAGGTTTGGGGGTGGCTGCTCCCTCGGGGACAATGGCTTGGCCTGCGTCACACCTGGGCCAGTGTGTGTGCACGTGCGCGTGTGTGTGCACACGCGTGTGGATGGAGCTAATCAGACTCTAGGCTACCCAGGGCTGTGGATTTCCAGAAGGTTCTGAGGGGCACGGGGGACAGCATGGGCCGGCAAATCAGAGCGACCCTGGGGGAGCAGGCAGAGCCTCGGGGGCTGGGGAGGACACGGGGGAGACTGGCCAGCCTCCATGAGCGTGGACTCCAGGCTCCCAGCCTCCTGGCTTCCGAGGCCTGCTGGCCCCGCCCGCTTCCCTCCGCCCTGGGCTCTCTGCCGGTCCTACCTCTGGTCTCACTCAGCTCCAAACGCCCCACCCGAGCCCCCACCCCCACCCCTGTCCACTGTCCCACGGGTGGAGAACCGACCCGCACAGATCTGCGTGTACTCAACATGGCTCCAGAGGAAAGTGTCTGGAAGGTTCTAGGCCAGCTGGGAAAGGAGGGAGGGGACGATGGGAAGGGACACACCTCTCAGGATGAGAAGGGACCCAGATCCAGGGCAGCCGGGCTGTCACCGGGCTGTGGAGGGGAGAGGAGGGGGCGGTTCACGCCATCTTGGGCGAGCAGGGATGTGACCCCCAAGGTTCAGTGCAGACAGGGCCCGGCAAGCAGCCAGGGAAAGACAAACCTCCCCTGGCAGGGCCGGTGCGGGGGACCCAGCTCGCCCGCAGAGCCTCCGCCAGGGCCCCCCATCTCCTCGAGATCTCTCCACGCACGTCCCACCCCAGCCCCCCATCCACGGCAGGTCTCAGCAGCGCCTTACTGTTGTCCAGGTGGTTGGCCTTGATGATCTTCTCTGAGTAGTCAGAAATACTGGAACATTCGATCTAGAGGGGGCACAGAACACAAGAACCACGGGTCAAAAAGAAGTGTCAGAATTCCATCATGTCTGATCCAGTTCCGACCCCGAATGTCTGCCCCAGCTCCACAAGGGCCCATCTGCTGCCAGCACGCTACCATCTCGGTCACCACTGTTGGGAGATGGCGGGAGCTTTAGGGGGTGTGGCCTACTGGGAGGAGGTGAGGTGATTGGGGGTGTGGCCTACTGGGAGGAAGTTAGGTCACTGGGGGTGTGGCCTAGCAGGAGGGAGGTAGGCCATTGGGGGCGTGGTCTAGAGGGAAGACATTGGATCACTGGGGGTGTGGCCTAGTGGGAGAAAGTTAGGTCCCTGGGGGCGGGGCCTAGTAGAAGGAAGTAAGGTCATTGGGGCAGGACCTAGTGGCAGGAAGTGAGGTCTTTGGGCCTGGCCTGGAAGGGATACTGGGGCTCCAGCCCCTCCTCTTCCTCTTTTGCCTTCTGTCAGCCATGTTTTTGTTCTAGTTCCCTGGGAGGCCAGGCCAAGCCAGAATTGCTGCCAGCCCCCTCCTCTTTGCCCCTGCCAGGATCTCCCCAAACCAGGCCCAGCCCCAGGCTGGAAAATGCCCACTGGGGCGCTGGGCCCCAGGCTTCCGGGCCTCTTCTCCCACCAGCTCCTGTTCTGGCTCGGGGACCACCCCCCAGAGCTCCAGGTGTCACCAGCCCGTGGCGCTGTAGGAGGGGAGAGTTCCTCTATTGTTTTATTTTTCGAGCATTTCTTTTTTGGCCTAGGCCCGCGTGGACTTTGAGCCACCTTCCTATGCCTTCCCCCTAGCCGGGACTACAGGTGCATACCACAGGTCAAAGGCGTATGCTACACCGCTCGGCTTGCTTGTTGAGACGGGGTCTGCTACGTTTCTCTCCCCCCTTTTTGTTTTTTTCCTGAGCTAGCCTCCGCCTCCTCCTCCTGAGTCGCAGGGATTATAGGCGTGAGCCACGGCGCAGGAGCGACATTTCATTTTCCTTCTCCTTGTGTTGATCTTTGTCCTACTTCTCCGGCTTTTCCAAGTCTCTCTGGCTTTCTATTTTTTTTTTCCTCCTCCTCTGTGCTTCTGTCTTCATTTTCCATCTCTGACTGTCCTTGTGTCCCCGGGCTCAGCCCGTGTCCCCCACCCCCCCCTCCCGAAGCGGGCATCGTGGGTGGGCGGGGGGGGGGGGAGGGGGTTGGAACAGAAGACACCATGAAAGGAGCCATCGGGCGGCGTTAGAGTCGGTGCCAAGTGTCTGTAGCTGGCGGGCACGGGGTGGGACGCCCCAGAAGACAGTCCAAGGGGTGAATGCTGCCCTGGCTGGAATCTGGGGGCAAGCCAAGGATTTGGGGCGCTTTAGTGAAGCTAGGAGCCTGCTGGGCCCCGTGGGTGGATGGGCCGCAGGTTTGCACACATCCTCGTGGCTTCTCTGCCCGGGGGGTGCAGCCCGGGGCCACCCCCCAACCTGCTTCGGACAGGAGCAGGTCACTTCCGGGGTGAGGCACCTCCCCGAGCCTTAAGGCTGAGCACCCTGGGACCCTGGGCGCCCTGCTTCTCCACCGCGTGGGGGTGGGGACTGGCCCAGCCGGCACGGGGGCCCCTCACCGCCCTGGCCTCCCCCCAGGGCGTTCTGCTCCCCTTCCAGAGAAAGGCGTGGGGGGGGTGCGGGGAGGGGGGGACGGACAGGGGCTGGAGGGGTGCGGCCTGGTGGTTAGCGTTTCCTAGTGTGCATGAGGCCCTAGGTCTGAGGGGAAGAAAGAGACAGAGACACAGAGAGAGATACAGAGAGACACAGACAGAGAGAGAGACAGACAGAGACAGAGAGACAGAGAGACAGAGACAGAGGGACAGACAGAGACAGAGACAGAGGGACAGAGAGAAGGGGAGGGGAGGTCCGCGATGGGTCCTCTGGGGTCGGCGGGGCAGGGGGGCCCCGGGCGGGGTGTGGGGCGCCCACACTCACCCCGAACACCTTCTTGGCCCCTGCCTTGGCGGCGAACATGGACAGGATCCCCGTCCCGCTGCCCACGTCCAGCACCACCTTGTCCTTGAACACGTGCTTGTTGTGGTACATGGAGTTCCGGTACGTGAGCGTCCGCACCTCGTCCTTCAGCATCTCCTGCGGAGGGGGGAGGACGGGGAAGGGAAGGCCATCAGCGGGCTCCAGGTCCCCCCCCCCCGGCCGGGGTCACAGGGAACCGCAGCTCCCCCCCACGGTCACACCGCTGTCCCCGAAGAGACCCCAAGGACTGCAAAGGCAGCCCCGCGCCGGTGGCTCACGCCTGTAATCCCAGCTACTCAGGCGGCTGTGATCTGAAGGATCTCTATTGGAGGCCAGCCCGAGAAGGGAGTCTGCAAGGTTCCGTCTCCAGTTAACTAGCAAAAAGCTGGGCCGGAGGTGTGGCTCAAGAGGTAGGGGGCCCAGATGGTCGCAGGGTGGGGTTCATGTGGCCAAGCACCTACCTGGAAGTAGGCAGGCCCCGGGCTCCAACCTCAGTCAGTTACCCAGAGGTGTGCATGCACACGCACACACACACACACACACAGGTGCACACCCACGTGCGCACACAGTGCATGCACACATGCTCGCCCACGCACACAGCTGCTGCACAACAAAGGAAAGAGTGATCAGGGTGAAGAAAGAGCTGACAGACAGACAGACAGACAGAGATCTTTGCCAGCTCTTCATCTGACAAGAGATTCATATCCAGAAGAGAGAAAGGAACTCAAAACATGCAATAGCAAAAGAACAAACAATCCAATTAATAAATGGGGCAGATGAGAAGAACAGACAGTTCCCGAAAGTAGAAAGGGCCAAATAAATACATTTTATATTAAAAGAGGAGGAGGAGCAGGAGGAGCAGGAGGAGGAGGAGGAGGAGGAGGAGGAAGTTCTGCCTCCTTTGTCATCAGGGATATGGAAAACAGAAGCTCCCTGAGCTCCCATCTCCTCCAGGCAGCAGAACCATCACCAAAGAAAACCAGAAAAAAAAACAAGGCTGGGCATGGTGGGGTCCACTGGAGCCCCAGAGACAGGAGGTAAGATGTCCTGGATTACAGGTGTGAGCTACTGGCACCCGGCTTTGCTGATCTGGTTCTTCAAAGTCTGACTCACGCCTGTCACCCTAGTGACTCGGGAGGCTGAGATCTGAGGATCACGGGTCGAAGCCAGCCCGGGGCAGGAAAGTCGGGGAGACTCTCTCACGTCCAGTAAAACCGCTCAAGAAAAAGCTGGAAGTGGTGCTGTGGCTTAAGTGACAGGGAGCTTTGTCTTGAGCATTAGAGAGGCTCAGGGAAGAGAGCCCCAGGTCCTGAGTTCGAGCCTTGGGACTGCCACTTCCATGGCGAATACCTTTGATCGCCTTACCTCGTGGATCCCGAAGTGGGCGTAGGAGTCGAAGTAGTAGTCTCGAGAGGTCATCTCCTCCGGGTTGAGCAGCTTCGACATCTTCCCCCCGGCCCGGGCAGCTGGGCTGCGTGGACACGTGGTGGACGCATTGCACCGGCTTGGTTGGGATGATGGCTTGTGGTGGCTGGGTGGGGGCGCTGCTCACCTGGGGGAGGGGGAGGGGGAAGGGGAGGGGCCACATGTCAACAGAGGCCCAGGGTCCAGCCTGGGAGACGCTGCTCCGCCCACCTCCCCAGTCCAGTGCCAACTCCGCAGCTGCTCTGTGGCACTTGGTGACACCCTTTGTGCTCCCCGACCTTCAGATACACATGCTGGCTAAAGACCCGGATGGCCAAATCAACCTCTTTGTGTGAGTGTGTGTGTGTGTGTGTGTGTGTGTGTGTGTCTCGGTCGTGGGGCTTGAACTCGGGGCCTAGACACCGTCCCTGATCTTTTTTGCTCAAGGCGGGCGCTCTACCACTTGAGCCAAGGCACCACGTCCGGTTTTCTGGTGGTTTATTGGAGATCAGAGTCTCACGGACATTCCTACCCCGAGCTGGCTTTGAACTGTGATCCTCAGATCTCAGCCTCCTTAGTAGCTGGGATGACAGGCGGGAGCCACCGGTGCCCAGCCTCTTTTCTTTACAAGTTGCCCATCTCTGTACTGGCATTTCCAGGGGCTGAGATGGTAGCTCCGTGATGTTGGGTGTTGGAATTAACCGCCCTATGCCTGCGCTTTCCTGCTCTGAAATGGGAATGATGCGAGATGGAATAGCACTTTTGAAGTTCTTAAAAACAAGCCAGGTAGCTGGGCGCCGGTGGCTCCCGCCTGTCATCCTAGCCTCTCAGGAGGCTGAGATCTGAGGATCATGGTTCAAAGCCAGCCTGGGCAGGAAAGTCCGTGAGACTCTGATCTCCAGTGAACCACCAAATAAAGCTGAAAAAAATGAAGCTGTGGCTCAAGTGGTAGAGGGCTAACCTGGAGTAGAAGAGCTCAGGGACAGTGCCCAGGCTCTGAGTTCAAGCTCCAGGAACTACACACACACACACACACACACACACACACACAGAGGAAATTAAAAAACTAAACATAGAACCACTCGATGACCCAGCAATTCCACTCTTGTGCATTCATCCCAAAGATTACAAATCAAGGTTACAGCAAAACCACCAGCACAACCATGTTCACTGCAGCACTGCAGGTCTCTCTGGTGGATACCACCAGAGCCAAGGTATAGGATCAGCCCAGAAAACCCCTCAACGGACAAATGGACTGAGAAAATGTGGAAGAGGTACGCAACAGAATTTTATCCATCCATTAGGGGGGAAAAAATGACATTGTGCCATTTGGAAAGAAATGGAAGGACCTGGAAAAAAATTATGTTACATGAAATAGGTCAGGCCGAGAGACAAAGGATGCATCTTTTCTCTCGCGTGCAGAAGCAAGATCTAATTTATAAATACCTACACAAGTAAAACACACACACACACACACACACACACACACACACACACACACACACACGGCGTGCTATGTGAGTGCACATAAACGTATTAACTGAAGTGTGGTCTATGCAGTAGAGAATTCAAATGATGAAGCGCCGGAGTAAAACTAATAGTCCACAAAGTGATCACCGGGGAGCCGGCCTGTGACAGGTGTGGGGGTTTGGTCAAGGGGAGGGGGATAGAAGAGGGGAGGGAGGGGGAGGGGGAGGAGAGAATGCAGTCGTAATATTCCACGCACATCCCCGTGAAGCCAGGAAAATCAAGGGGAGGGGAGGGGCTGGGAGGAAGCCACACCTGGTCCTCATCAACTGTCACGTGATGTGGCAACTCCGATCCAGATGCCCGCACCTCCCTTCCCCGCCCCCCCCCCCTCGCCCCCGGCCCCCCCGTTCCCCGAGACGCCGTATCTGTTATCTTGTTCCTCCTGTGTTTAGTGACACACACCCCCAATCCTGACCCCTGCCAGCTGCGCTCCTCACAGTCATCCCATCCCTCCTCCCCACAGGCTAAAGGGAGGGAGAAACAGCCCAGAGACACCCCCCCCCCCCAAACATCTGGATGGACACACAGCTGAGCCAGAGAGGGTGGCCTGGCCCGGGAACAGAGTCCAGGAAAGAGCCTGGGAGCTGGGTGCAAACACAGAAATAGAAAAGCAGGATTCTAGGACACGCTGATCTTGGGGGGGGGGGGGGCTGGGCCTCCACTCCCTGATCCTCTCCCTGTGAGGTGGAAAGCAGATACTGAGGGCAGACACCCCAAGGAACCGGAAAGTCCAAACTTGAGGCTCTGCCCTGTTCATCGGGGCCCGTGTGACCTTGGAAGGCCCTCTGTCACCACGTCCTCAGCCCAGAAGCAGGGAGGAGGAAGATACAGCGGGCAGGGAGCTGGCCTGGGACCCCCTTCAAAAGTCTGGGCTCCAGAGGGCTGCCAAGGGCTCACACCTGCCATCCCAGCTACTTAGGAGGCTGAGAGCTGAGGATCACGGTTCAAAGCTAGCTTGGACAGGAAAGTCTGTGAGACTCTGATCTCCCATGAACCACCAGAAAACCGGAAGTGGTGCTGTGGCTCAAGTGGCAGAGCATCAGCCTTGAGCTGAAGAGCTGAGGGACAGCGCCCAGGCCCAGAGTTCAAGACCCACGACTGACAAATAAACAAACAAATAAAGCAAGCAAGCTGTGGAAGACTTCACGGTGCTACCTGCTTTGGCCTGTACTTGGTGCTGAGTTGATTTTTGTTTTGTTTTGTTTTGTTTTTTGTTTTGTCAGTCATGGGGCTTGAACTCAGGGCCTGGGCGCTGTCCCTCAGCTCTTCAGCTCAAGGCTGGCACTCTACCACTTGAGCCACAGCGCTACTTCTGGTTTTCTGGTGGTTCATTGGAGATCAGAGTCTCACAGACTTTCCTGCCCGGGCTGGCTTAGAACCAGGATCGTCCGATCTTGGCCTCCTGGGTAGCTTGGGTAACAAGCAGGAGCCACAGGTGCCCGGCTTGAGGTGGTTTGGGGGTGGTGTGTGTGTGTGTGTGTGTGTGTGTGTGTGTGTGTGTGTGTGTGTGTGTGTGCGCATGCGCACGCCAGTCCTGGAGCTTGAACTCAGGGCTTTGAGCACGGTCCCTGAGCGTTTCTCTGTTGTTCAAAGCAAGTGTCCTACCATGCGAGTCACAGCTCCATTTCTGGCATCTTTTTTACTTTTCCCTTAATTTTTTGAGTGGTTCACTGGAGATCAGAGTCTCACAGACTTTCCTGCCTGGGCTGGCTTTGAACTGCGATCCTCAGATCTCAGCCTCCTGAGGAGCTGGGATGACAGGTGGGAGTTCACCATGGCTTAGCTGTGGATTTTCTTTCTTTCTTCCTTCCTTCCTTCCTTCCTCCCTCTCTCCCTCCCTCCCTCCCATTCCTTCCTTCTCTATTTTCCCATCCCCTGAGCTGGGTCAAGGCTCAAGGCGGGGACAGGCAGATCTAAGACAAAGCAGCTCAAGAGATCGACCCCATCTCCTTCTCTCCCCTCCTCCTCCTCCCTTCCCGGGGCCCAGGGCTGGAGAGGGACGAGTCGAGGAAGGGGTGTGTGTGGGGGGGTGTTCCATTTTTCCCAGCAGTGTCTTGGTGGTAGCGGCCTCGGCCTCGGCCTCTGCCTCTGGGCCGTGGCCGCTTCCTGGCCCACAGCCCGGCCCTGGAGCGGCCGGGCATCTTGGCACCGGGCCGCCTCATTGGCATGCAGGAGGTGAGCCGCCTTCGGCTTGGCGTGGCGCTCCTGGGCTCGGCGAGACTAAAAATAGACCGTGGCAGCGTGCACGCGCCCCGAACCGGCTGCAGTGTCACCTCTAAACACGGGGGAAGGAGTGCACACACACACACACACACACACACACACACACACACACACACGAGGCTGCTCTGCGCAGGCGGCTGATCCCAGCACTGACACCGTTTAAATAGATCAAGGAGAGGAGGGGAAAAGACGCCCAGCTGGTGCGGATGGGGTCACGCTCAAGGTCAAGGGGGGGGGGCCTCCAGCAGCTCCAAGCTGTCAATCAAAGGGGTCTCCTTTGCCACCCAAGGCCCCCAGGCTTTGGCTTCCCGTTGGCTGGTTTTGGAGGTGACTCGCGTGGTCAGGAGGACCCGGGGAGTCGCAAGAGGTGGGCAGAGGGGTGACCGGGTGCCAGGCGGGGTGTGTGTGTGTGTGTGTGTGCACGCACGCGCACACGTGTGCACGCTGGTCCTGGGGCTTGAACTCAGGGACACTGAGTTCCTGAACTTTTGCACTCAAGGCGGGCGCTTTACCCCTTGAGCCACAGCGCCACTTCTGGTTTTCTGGGGGGTTCATGGGAGATCAGAGTCTCACGGGCTTTTCCTGCCCGGGCTGGCTTTGAACCGCGATCCTTCGATCCCGGCCTCCTGAGTCGCTCGGGTGTCAGGGGGGAGCCACAGGCACCCGGCTGGAGATTTGCCTTCTCGACTGGAAAAAGCCCCCCCCCCCCAGCCCCCACGCTCGAAGCTCAAACAGGCTCCCCCTGCCCCCCCCCATAACTTTGAGCCACATTGTTTCGGAGGGGGGGGGACACAAAAGAGAGGGAGGATTCGGTTCAACGTGGAGACTGGGGGGGGGGGGGGAGCTGGTGGCCGGCAGAGCAGGTGCAAGTGGGAGGTTCTGATGGGAGGGAAATGAAAGACTGGCTGGAGCCCCCCAAAAAGTGGGGGGGTTAAGGCAGTGAGTGTTGGCTGAGCCAGTAGAAGCTGTGTGGAAAGGGCAGAGGGCCAGGCTGGGGGAGGGAGTAGTTCAATTAATCGTGAGTATGGTGGGGGGGTCATTTGCAAACAGAAGGCTCCTTGCTGGCCAAACCCCTGCTTTTAGGAGGGGAATGTGGGAAGGAGCAAGGAAGGGCGGCTGGGCTGGGGGGGGGGGGGGGGGCGGGGGGGGGAAGGGCTGTACTGGGGAAGCTATTTTCAAAGACCAGTCAGGAAATAGAAGCATCTGAACTCGGGCAAAGGACCGCTAGCCGGGGAGAGAGCAGAAAATAGAATCTACCAGCGCGGGGAGGGGAGGTGAACTTCCAGGTCTGCAAGCTAGCTCTGCCGGGCAGGAGACTAATGGCGATGTCAAGTGAAATCAGGTCGGGGTGAGGGGAAAACGTGAGAGTCCACGTGGACGGCTAGAAATGTCACC